GCAGAGAAAAACTCCCGGTATATGGATAATTGGAAGATCCTGCTGCACAGACAGCATCAGGATTGGAAATCAACCAACCACCCACTATGGAAATATTGAGAATTGAGTAAAAAAAAAAAAAAGCTGAAGTAGGGAAACAGGAATATACATACATACATACATACATACATACATACATACATACATACATACATACATACATACATACATATCTTTTAGTCTGTCATGCAAACTCAAAAAATATAGGATAACTAAATAATCTTTTCATCTCAAAGAAAAAGATTGGAAGTAAAAACCATCTAATCTAAGTTCTTTTTACTGGAGGTTTGTTCTCCTTGGGCAATTAGGCACAGCAGTGAAATTCATGGTTTGATATATACAGGTGAGGATCATAAAGTTGCTCTTCTTGTATATGATACTGTTTTCTATATTAAAAATAATAAAATCAATTGATAGCCTGCAGTATATTATATACTCTGAGTATATTATTAATAAATCTAAATGTGAAATAAGTAGTTTTGATTTATCAAAATTAGCAAGGAAACACCACACCTAGAATGTATTCTACATCCCCTCAAGTACTTGAGGATTTAACATGTTTTTTTACAAAGTAGTAGCCATATAATAATTATTTATGAATGGCTGCTTGACTACTCTAAATTAAAATTTCTAAAGTAAATGTCACATATTTTATTATCAGTGAAATTGCTGTTGATTAGATGTAGATATGGTGTTCAAAATGCTACTTTGATTTATACAATCCCTTTTGTACATATTCTTTTTCACAAATTAATTTTATTCTAGAAGATGGAATGATTTTGTAGATGTTTTCATTCCATGCATAATGTACCAAACTTGGAAATTAACAGTTTGGGACTTCTTTGATAACAAAAACATTGATATTAGAAGACTGGAAGGGAATCTATTTTCTATCAGCAGTATAGTTATGTACTTCAAGTCCTATACTTCAAGTCTTCATCAAGAACTCCACCCGTAGGACTAATAGACAATTGGAATCCATAATTTATATGTTTAAGTTCACTTTTTCCCCCACAGGTAAATAAACTAATTTAAATCTTAATTGTATGCATCCTTGTAAAATAATGAACTTATTTTTCAATCAGTGATCAATCTTCCTTGAGACTTTGGTTTATCTACTGGTATTTTATCACTTCAGAATCTATTCATAAAATTGAAATGCTCTTCCCCAGCAATTAAAAGAGTGCCTATAACCTAGTATGTGTGTCAAATTATTTAGTACTTAGATTTGCCCAAATGTTTCAGCTAAGCCAATAGTTTTCTTGGCAACATTGCTGGAGTTGTTTGCCATTGGCATTCCTCTGGGTCTGAGTTTGGAAATTCTTTTTCTAGGTGGCTTGGTTTTTCTCATGCATATAGAACCCTATATCTGTTATGAGTTGACCTTTACTTCAGCTCTCTCTTTATGATTTTACTAGCAAGGATGAGCCTTTTAGAAGAGCAAACGTCTTATAGCATCATTATCAGAATCACTGAGTTCTCTCACCAGATTAAATTAGCAACCCCTTGGAGGTTGATACAGAGAGCCAGTTTGGCCTAGTAGTTAAGGTGCTGACCTGAAAACTAGGAGACTAAGAGTTCTAGTCCTGGATTAGGCATGAAAGCCGGCTGGGTGACTTTGGGCCAGTTACTCTCTCAGCACAACTCAAACCCACCTCAGAGAGTTGTTGCTTTGGGGAAAATAGAAGAAGGAAGTATTATGTATGTTTGCCACCTGGAGTTATTTATAAAATAATAAAGGTAAGATAAAAATAGAATAAATAAATAAATATACAGTAATGCTATTTCTGTGTATATAAAGAATGCTCACTGATCCATAATCACTATATTACTCAATGTGTAAAACAAAGTACAGTAACTTAGCAGGTGACAATATCTAAATATTGGCATTCCTCTGGGTCTGAGTTTGGAAATTCTTTTTCTAGGTGGCTTGGCCTTTAGGCCCAAAGGTTAAGCAGAGGGATGCTTGGTTAATATTTGAATGGGAAATTACCAAGGAATACTAGATCTATACCATGGAAGAAAACAATACCCTATTCCCATCATGTTGCCAAGAAAACGCATGGACCAATCACAAAGTTAGCAGTAGTTGAGTTAGATTCAAAGTAAACCCTATATTTTAACAGTGAGTAGGAATATTAAGCAGATAAATAACTGATCAGTGACTTTAAAAAGTCACAATTCCTAAAAATGAAAATGATGAGTTGGTGTAATCTAATGTATTATTTGAAAAGAAGCTATCTTGGCCAGAAAAAAAGATAAGTGTGAGGTGATGTAAGACATAGTATAAAAGGAATGCATACAAGAAGGAACAATGAGGCAATGTCATTACATTTTGCTTTCTCTAAATAGATGTTTTCTTATTGGCCATGCCCATCTTGGTAGCAATTTGTACATAGGCAGGCTCAACATGGCAATGATGTTGTAAGAATATTCATAACAACATATCTATTAGTTCTAAAGTTTGCCTTCCCTGTGAAATAAGGTGCTCAGAATAGTATGTCAATGGAGAAAATTAGTAATAAGGACATCTGAGTAAAACCCTAATCACAGCTGCTGGAAACTGGAAAAAATATTGCTGTTTCATACTGTTGTCTATTATTCAAAATACTTTTCCATCTGTGAACCATCCAACACTGTGCACTGACAGATGTTACTATAGCAATTATCAATTTAAAGTAAACAAATGCTAGTATATAACTTACAGTGAGAATATGTCATGTGTTGACTTTCAGAGACAATATCTGGAGCATCCTTGGAGTGATTTCTGAGGGATAATGAGATTAATGTTTCATTGATTCTGGTAAAATTATTCTTCCATTAACATGTCTTTATTCTATAATGATGTTCTGTGGGTTACTTATTATTTACCAGTTTAATTAACTTCATAAAGCTCTCTTACATTCTTTGTCATTAAACTCTGCCAAAGAATTATTATAATCCCTAATCATAATGTATACATTACATTAGTGTTTATTATATTTTTAATGCAGATTACAAACTACGAATGAAGAACAGGAAACTAGCTGGTATTCTTCTATCACCAACAAGTTTCATACATTTGATGAACTGATCTTACCTTTCTTTTGCATCCAGAAATGCTTTGGCAAAAGGATTGTATTTGATTTTGAGAGCTGTTATCTTGAGATTCAAGAAAGAAGGGTTCTGTTAAGTCTTTTAAAGGTGACTGTTGATTATTTTCCCACATTCAAATATATTACACCAAGAAGTTATACAAAGGCAAGGCACAAAATGTGAAAAATAGAAAGTTTTCTTCATACCATATATAAGTTAATGCAGCTCTGAGATTTATTAAACAATGCGTGATGTAGAGAGGGGGGGGAATTGTACCTTTTAAAGAAGTTAAAAGATAGATTTAAAACAATTTCATAGTTGAATACTATTTAGATGTAAATAGTCCAAACATTAATTTGGACAACTTTAAAAGAATATTAAACAATCTTCTCAAAAAAAGAAAGCAATCAATCACATAATGATTTTATATTAACCTCCACTATCAAAAGCTATATAGTGAGGAACACAACTTGGTTGGAGTTATTGCCTATGTTTTCCTTACTAGCTTGCTCTGGGCAATCAGCTGTCCTGTGGCGGCACAGTATTGAACTAAATTGGCCTAGCCAATTTCTCTCTTAAGCAGAAACTTTAATTTTGCAGTTGGAAGAAACTAACTTTCTCAACCAACAGGATAACTTCTGCTGTCCCATGAATGCCTCTTATGTGGTTATTGAATAGCAGGCATGCAAGAAACACATCCTTGTTGATAAAATCAAACAATACTTATTCTAAAGAAGAACGGTGGATCACAAAATTTACCTGGGCACTTTAAAGTTATTCCCATAACTAATAAATTGCTTTTATATGATAGTCACCTACCTCTTCATTCTGATAGGCAGTCACAGCAATAAACTGAGTTTCAGGAAAAGAACAATTCATTACCATCCTATGTGGGCCTCCTACCCGGACAATATGAACTTGAGGCTCATATTTATGTAGGGAATTCAACATAATCTAGAATGAGAAAAAGGGAGAGAAAATAATTGGAGATACTATTTTGTATACTACAAAAACCTGTGACATATGGAAGTTACTATGCAAAGTTGAAGTCAATGCAAGATGAGACCCCTGGTGATCAATTAATTTGTGGCCCAAGTGTTGTAATTACACAAACATTTCAATATACTCCTGTTATTTCCAAAGTCAGGGAGCTTTCATTGTAAGGCCTGTTGCAATATATGGATCTGACAAGCCTTTCTTCTCCATCAACATCACTCTCAAAAAGGGGGAGAGGGAAAATAACTAACTAATAATAACTATAGCTGGTTTATTGCTAATGAACCATGATCAGTTTCATCTTGAGTCACTTTACCTGTAGGTGCATAAACAGCTGCAAAGTAGGTATATGGGTCAATACAAAAGAGAAAAAAGTGACATTACCATAGGTATATATTACAGGCCACCCAACCAGTCAGAAGAAATAGATGAACTTTTGCCAACCAGTTAACAAATGCATGTAGGAAGTATACCACAGTAGTAATGGGAGACTTCAACTATCCAGATATCAACTGGGAGACAAACTCTGCAGTGGGTGGGAGATCAAACAGATTCCTAACCAACCTAGCCGACAACTTTGTCACCCAAAAGGTGAAGGAGAGCACTAGACGTAAAGCTATACTGGACTTAATCCTTACAAATAGAGAAGAAGTGAAAGAGGGAATCGAAATTACCAGAACCTTAGGTGAAAGTGACCACATCATACTGGAATTTAATATAATGCAAACACTAGCAATAGAAAACAATTCAACCAATGCCCTAAACTTCAAAAGAGCCAACTTTAACAAACTCAGAGAGAACCTAGGAAAGATCCCATGGATAAAAATCCTAAAGGACAAAACAACCCAAGAAGCGTGGGAAACCCTAAAAAATGCAATCACAAAAGCCCAGACCAGCACAATACCACTGAGGGGAAAAAACAAGAAATCCAAGAAGAAACCAGCATGGCTGCACAAAGATCTCTCTAACAAACTAAAAGACAAAAAGGACAAATACAAAAAATGGAAAGAGGGGCACATAACTAAGGCTGATTATCAGCAGACAGCCAGAACATGCAAAGGTGAAGTCAGGAAAGCAAAGGCTTAGAATGAATAAAAACTTGCAACAGAAATCAAGGACAATAAAAAAGTTTCTTCCAACATATTAACAACAAGAAAAAAGTCAAGGAAACTGTAGGCCCCTCTAAAGAGAGAAGATGGCAAAGAAATTATAGGCAATAGGGAGAAAGCAGAGCTGCTAAGCTCATACTTTGCATTAGGCTTCACACAAAAAGAAACTATAGACCAACACACCAAAAAACCCACTGCAAAAGACATACTAGAAACAAAAATTAAAATAAGCAAGAAAATGGTAAGGGAACACCTATCCAACCTTGACGAATATAAATCACCGGTACCTGACAGACTACATCCCAGCGTTCTGAAAGAGCTGGCAGATGTTATCTCAGAACCATTGCACCACGTCTTTCATAAATCCTGGAGCACCGGGCAAGTACCTGAGGTTTGGAAAAGGCCTGATATGGTCCCCATTTTCAAGAAAGGGAAAAAAATGGACCCAGGAAACTACAGACCAATCAGTTTAATATCAATACCTAAGAAGATCCTAGAAAAGATAATAAAAAAGCAAACAAAGTCATAACTAGTAGCCAGCAGATCTGTTAAAAACAGATCATGCCAAACTANACCGGGCAAGTACCTGAGGTTTGGAAAAGGCCTGATATGGTCCCCATTTTCAAGAAAGGGAAAAAAATGGACCCAGGAAACTACAGACCAATCAGTTTAATATCAATACCTAAGAAGATCCTAGAAAAGATAATAAAAAAGCAAACAAAGTCATAACTAGTAGCCAGCAGATCTGTTAAAAACAGATCATGCCAAACTAATTTTATCTCATTCTTCAATAAAGTGACTAAACTAGTAGATAAGTGAAATGCAGTGGACATAGTATACTTAGATTTCAGTAAGACATTTGACAAAGTAGACCACAACCTACTCCTTGGTAATCTATGAAAAGGTGAAATAGACAACTTCACCACCAGATGGATCTGTAACTGGCTGATAAACCGTACTCAACGAGTAGTCCTCAATGGCACTACATCCACATGGAGAGAAGTAAGCAGTGGGGTACCACAAGGTTCCGTCTTAGGCCCAGTACTCTTTAATACCTTCATAAATGACTTAGATGAGAGAATTGAAGGGGAACTCATTAAATTTGCAGATGACACCAAACTGACAGGAATAGCCAACACCCCAGAAGACAAACTCAGGATCCAAAAAGATCTTGACAGACTTGAACAATGGGCCCTATCCAATAAAATGAGTTTCAATGTGGAGAAAAGCAAAGTCTTACATCTAGGCAGGAAAAACCAAAGATACAAATACAGATTGGGTGAGACCTGGCTTAAAAACAGCAACTGTGAGAGGGACCTTGGAGTCCTAGTGGACGATCACTTGACTATGAGCCAGCAGTGTGCAGCAGCAACCAAAAAAGCTAATACAATCCTGGGCTATATAAACAGAGGCATAGAATCAAAATCACGTGAAGTATTAGTATCACTTTATAAAACCCTAGTAAGACCACACCTGGAATACTGCAGCCACTTTTGGTCACCATATCACAAAAAAGATGTTGAGAGTTTGGAAAAAAAATTCAGAGAAGAGCAACTAAGATGATCAAAGGCCTGGAGGGGGCTGGACTAGAAGACCTCCAAGTCCCTTCCAGCTCTGTTCTATTCTAGGTAAGATAGAACAGACCGGCAAACAGTAACAGCAGCCTGAATCTGTTTTGAATAATTTTATATTAGAATTAGAAGGGCTGAGAGATGGAAACCAGGTTGACTAGAGATGGTCTATGACTAATAAGAAAGTTTCCAGGTTAGGTTTTTAATACATGGTTGCCCTGTCTTATTCTCAGGCTTTTCTGAAGGCTCCAAAGATCAACATCCTTCAAACGCAATCCTCTTGCCTCTTCAGGCCAATTCTTCCATCTTTTTTTCCTAGAAAAAAACTGTTAAGGAAGACAGAAATAATACCTGGTGCCTTTTGAATGGTAGAGTAAGTGATCCTCCACTTGAATTCATTGTTAAAACAATGAAATCTTGCATTGTATTAATTTCATTGCACTTACTTATGGTTGAAGCAATGAAATTTAACAGCTTCTTTTCTTTTCAGATCATGGATCTGGGTCAGTACAAAAACACAATTAAATTCCTTTACATATTTTGGGGCTTCCTTCAGCAGAAATTTTATGCATATAAACTGGAAAAAAATGGTTCAATTCCTTTTTTGGGTATCTTAGATGTTAACAACTCAGGTGATTGGTTGAGGATGCTTCTTCAATGTGAACTAATAATTAAGCAATAATTAGAATGTTCTGGATCTTGAAATGTAGGGAACATACATATTGTTTCTGTAGAAAAATTACAGTGTTCCAGTTTGGGGGGGGGAAAACAGAAATCTAGGCACTATCTGAATGGTTTTGTTGTTGTTGTTGTTGTTGTTCTTTCTCTGAAAATCTGTATTAAACAATTGCTAAGTATAAAAACCAAAGTTCCTACTGTCCATGTTTTCCCAGTTTTCTTCTTCATGTAAATTCTGGAGGACCCCAGATAAGTATAGAAATGGCCACAAACAAGTCCGAATAGACATAAATAATATGCAAAGCTGAAAATTCGTTCTTTGCTTGCTAATGGATTTGCTTTCAGATTTAATCCTGCATTCCAAAATAAATCAAAGAAAATGTTCCTCACTGGGGTCCTAGATGCATATTAAACAAACAAGCCAACAAAGCCAACTTTCCTCTTTCATTTTTAAGGGCCTTGGGAGAGAATGCCACTTATTTTCTCATACAGGTACATATTTTGTATTATTATCCCAAAGGCCAAAGATGATTCAATAGAATATTGATAATTATCATGAGGCAAAAGCAAGCACAGTAATTATTTCATTTAGACGAAGCCTTTTATTTGAGTACCTGACTATTGCCAACATCCCACTTACGCACCAAATGGCAAAGGAGAGAAAACAAAGGCTCAATACCCCCAATCATTTTCCCCTTCTCTGAAGCCCTATGTAAAAACTCAGCATACAAGGCACACTATGGAGGTAAAAATCCCTGATGGTTAAACCACAGCACACTCTGTCTCTCTTGACATCAAGGAGTCCATTAAAATCTGAAAGCTCCAATTAAAGCCTGTTTATTCCTGTTTACATTTGGACTCGATGGAATAATTGGCATCTGTGGGTGAAGAGGCCTCTAAGGGCCCTTCTAATTGCATAAATGCACCCTTGATCATTCTCAATTGGTAGAAGCCAATGACGGAAGCCAAGAGGCTTACAAAAAAAA